CTCGAGCCTTGCCAGAGGTGGTGTGGGTGTGTGTGTGTGTGTGTGCATGTGTGTGTGCATGTGTGTGTGCATGTGCATGTGTGTGTCTGTGTGCTAAATTCATGCATGTGTGCAATTTGGATATGGCTTCACTCAGCTTTGGTGAACTCTCTTCACACATTCAGTGATATGTTTAAAAGGCAAGAATTTACAAAAGACGTATATCCCTGTTACACTATTTGCACTTGCATAATATTATTCAATAGGGACTACTTTAGCAAGGTGAGGTAAGGGATCTAGGCCTGTGGTTTCAACAAAAAGTATGCTAACTTTCTATTTGAGGATGTTATAACATATCTAATTATTTTTGCCCTGCCCTAACTGTATTCTCAGTCACTTTAGTGCACAGGCACCCTACCTAAGACAGTTGACAGTAAGGTTTTCTCTCTGTCACTCAGCCCTGCATCATGCTAGCATACAGTACAACATACAAGTTAGGTTAGGCTAAGTAATCATATGACAGGCAATTTCCTAAAAGTGACTACTGAAGCAAGTGAGCCTGGATGGTGAGTGAGTTATAACCTCTCCTGATGTAAAACAAACAAAAACAGCCCAAATCATCCACCTCTTGGGTAGTGTACCTAGTGTTTAATAAAGAAAGAAGCAATGGACACAACACACAAATGGATGCCTTATTTAGTAAACAATTTTGGATTACTTAAAGGTTTATTTCTTTACCTTGGATAACGGTCATCCCTTGCAATTTTACCTAGTTGTACATTATTTGCATTGTTACAGTAAAGACCAAGTTATAGTATAACTACCAATACACTGAGTTTCCACTTTTATTAGATAAATCTGTGTAATCAGATGCAACAAATTCAATCGTTATAAATCTTTTAATGTTCCGTTGTTTTAACATGGTGTCAGAAAGGTTTTGATTCACCTTTATGGTCATTTCACGCTCTTCAGTTTGAATTGTCAGCAAGAAAAGTATGGGTGTAACTGATTGCAATGATGATGCTCATATTCCATTAAGATGAAATGAGCCAGCATGCACATAACGATGGCCCTGACACCAGAATGAAACACATAGATGGAGCACAGACATGATCAATGTTACTGGTCACACTTGTGTTTAACAAGCCAAAATATGACAAAAGGTTACTGGACAGTATTATGTTATCGGATAGTCTTAAGTCTTATTTATGCTGCCTTTATGTTTGAAGAGAGATACGTCTGACGGACGAAAAAACGCAGCGACGAACTTGTTTGTCTGAGGTATTAATTTTACAATAATATAAAATGTAGTCCTCAAATTTAAGAAGCTAAAACCATAAAATGCATGGTCAGTTGGCTGGTCACACTCTTCCTATATGTCAACAGACCCTTTTATACACTTGACATTTTGACATGCCATAGAATGTGTAAATAATAACATTAATGGCATGTTTCCATGTCAGTGACCCAGCTTGCACACGAACCTGACACAAGCTGTTATATGGAAAGCAATCATCAGTAATGCTACTAATTATAACTGTGCGTATCTTGTGATAGAATGTCTGCAGTGAATAAAATATATGTACTGTATATTTTATTTCTATTTAACCAGGAAAGTCCTATTGAGATTAAGAATCTCTTTTTCAAGGGAGACCTGGCCAAGATAGGCAGCAGCACAGATAAAAACATACAGCACAGGTGAAAACACATGTAACACACAACCAGATAAGTTAAAAACAGCAGAATCTGCCTCCAGTGCAGACAATTGTAACAGAGAGTAAAAAGAAGTTCTGAGAACGCAGAGAGTAAATCCTGATACATTTTTGCGTAATGCAGAATCTCCTTATACATTAAGTTGTACCATAACTCAGGAGGTGATGACTTAGGACTCAAGCGTTACTCCATTGTAGTCCAGTATCACATGTTGCCACCTGGAATCATACAACCCTTTAGGTGGGAACCAAAAGTAATTTTCACACATTACACATGTCTGGACCCTTGGAAACTGACAGCATGATTAGATCCTGCAGATATATCAACCTCCATGTGCATTTTACATCCATGTTTGTATTTGTCTATTGGCACATAACATTGAGTCCAAGTTTCCGTGCTGTACCCTCAATGGTACAAGGAGATGGAGAGCATTTTGTCTCTTTCTTGTTTGTGTTACTGATGGCAAATTAGGATCCATAATGCCCTGTTGTAGAGAGAGGTAAGGTTGTAGCATGAAGTGGAAGGAGAACTGTGACATGTTCTGTTCAAGTCTGTACAATTCATAGGTAATGTTTGGTGGAGACTACGATAAAATAATTAAACTTTTAGGTAAGCTTCACAAAGCTTGCACAAACACACGTACACACACACACACATTTGTTTGCATGATAAGTGAATCAAACAAGGGTGTGAGAAGTCCGTTGGTCAAGTAACAGAATAACATCTTGCTGCTCAGCTTTGTGAAACACTATGTCCCTTATGCGTTTTTCTTTTTTCTCTGTCTCACTCCCTGTTTCTCTCTTTCTCCCTCTGTGCCTCTCACTCCCTCTCGCTCCAGCTACTTCACCTCCTCCGTGGCCTTGTCACAATCTCTCCTTCCCTCTTTCCCTCACCTCGCCCCCACACTCTCTGCCCTACTGTCCGTTTGTCTCTGTATGCTTTGTCCTTTTGGGCTCCATCTCTGTGCACTGGTCTCCGTATATGTGTGTGTGTGTGTGTGTGTGTGTGTGTGTGTGTGTGTGTGTGCAAGCGTGTGTGTGTATGTGAGGGGGACTACCAGGCACAGTCTATCTGCCATGCAGGAGTGACATCTCTTTGAGCCCCCACATCATTCCTCTCCAGCCCCAAATAGCTAAATCTTTACCATGTTCTGCTGCATCTGTTTGAGAGAAGGTGCATTTGTATGGGTGCGTGAGTATGCATGTGTGATGGATGATGCATGAGAATATGGGCCACTTAGTTTGTTCCAGTGTTGAGGCAGCAATTGGCGGCCCAGCTGCTTCAACACACATGCACACACACGAGATGGAGATTTACACACTCTTAAAGAGGAGATACTAATTTGGAGGTTTTAGGCAGATTACTGATGGATGTGGGAGAGTGGTGTGGGGGTCAGTTTTCCTTTGGTTGCAGGGGACCCAGATTTGCTAGCACCACCCCTACACAACTTCAACTGTGTACAGGCCAGTTACACACAGGCGCATCCATACTGTAGGCATATGCAAATGGAGTCCTGGAGTCCTACGTGCATAAACTGCAAAAAGCCCCCCCCCCACACATACACACCCCCAAGCCCACGCCCCCCACCCCCTTCCCAAGCTCAACGACGACGCATGCACGCACGCACGCGCGGAATACCGGGGCATGCCCGAGCGGCGCATCCAACTGTCAGCTCCGCTTCTTCCGGCAGAGAGACCTTGTGAGTTTATTAAGCGGAGCCAGTGGGAGAGACAGAGCCAGCCAGGCGTCGTCGCATGTGACAGGGCTGCCGTGCGTGGAGGAAGCGCCGCAGCCATGCACAGCTTCACTGTGACCTGATGAGCACGACAATCTGTGCAAGCTCCGCGGATCACAACCCGAGCGCAGCCCCTCCTCGCCTTCCCCAGATATATAGCCGCCCACGCGTAAAAGCAGAAACAGACACTCGTATAAACTCATTAAATATTCCATAATCCAATCATTCAATAACACTGTTAAAGGCTGCAGACAGCATCCTCCGAGAGGCTCGGATATTCAGTCCAGCATCTCTATCATCTCCATTTTGTTCTCTCATTTGACACTCAGGGAAACCAGTGGGAAGAGGGGGAAGCCAGGGAGACCTTTACGAGACGTGGAGGAGCAGTACGCACGGGAGAGGCACAGTCACCCGCTGACATTCAGGCCTCACGGAGGAAACGTCGGCTTAAAATGACTCGCAGATCCATCGTGTGCACAGTGGTGGCTTTCCAGCGTCACATCAGCAAACATCGGCATAATTTCACCCAACAAGGCCGGGGAACTAAATCTAAACTCGCGGGTGCCTTGGTGCGCACTCGGCCTGATGGCAAAGTTGCCAGCAGCCTACACCTGCCGTTCACACCAATCGATTACCCGACTTTTGCTTCCGATGTGGGCTAAAAATAAAACTAGATCGCAAATGTAGGCCACCCTATGGAAGTTTAGTCGGCACATCTAATACCGAGGCACCGCTACGACGCACAGCCGTACACTCCATGCAACGCAAAGACAGAGAGCTGAAAAATCCTTGAGAATCTCCGAGTGACAAGTCCCCCACAGCATCTCACCCTTCCTGCCTCCCCTTCTCTCCCCCTGCTTACATGCACCATCATCCCGTGACACCACATCCACAGCAGAGCCACAACCAAGGATCGCAGGTTACTCGTAAAATGTATTTACCTTTATGTCTGCCTTTCGCTGTCATCGTCACACTGCTTGATGTTTCATTGGAACGAGATGCTCATCTCCCTCTCTCTCTCTCCCTCTCCTGCTTTTTGCCCCCCTCTCTCTACCACTCTCTCCACTGTGTCTCTGTAGGGTATTATTCAGTAACACGAAACCACCGCTAGGAGTGGATCGCGTAAATGGAGCTCATGCAGCACAGGGGTGTCGCACAATAGCTTTGGCTATACATAGAGGGGGAGACATCCCCCCCCCCCCCCTTTAGAAAATGGGGTAATGCCTCGGTGAGGGGGTGAATTCAAATAGAATAACGAGGGAAGACCCTGATTATGGCGCACCGTGCTGGGTATGCCCCCCCACCCCCTTCTCCTCCATCATCAACTCCTTCCCCCTCAAAGGTTCATGGGCACATGCATGTTGACTCGCCACTCAAATTGCAATCTTTTATTATAAGGTGCTATGATTATAATCATACACAGGGATAGGCTCAGAACAAAAAAGAACAACGTGCGAATCAGAGACGGTGGTGCAACGACAGGGATGCAAACAGAAATGAACGATGGGCAGAATCATTGGCACAGAGGAAGCTCTCACTGGCCGTGCAGGTTTCTGTTTTTTGGCATGCCTACATTTGATCACCCGGTCGGCGGGACTTGCGCTGCAGTCGGACATCCTGGAGTCGGGACGGGAAAAACGGAGCCGTGGGGGGAGTTGGGGGGAGGGAGGCTCGCTCTCTCTCTCTCTCTCTCTCCCTTCTGTCAAGGGCCGAGACCGTGATGTCGGGTCCTCCGGCAGGCGTCGAGGATGATGTGCGCGGTAGCTGGGTGCCTCTCTCGCTGCAGCAGTGGCATCACTCGGTGGAGTCTCCGTGCGCTCTCGAACGGGGGAAGCCTGCCGCTGCGCCTGCTATGACTTGGGGGGAGGATTGGAGGACACCTAGCTGCTGTTCTTGTTGCATGCTTGGATCCCCAATTTTTTTTGTCTTTTTCTTTTTGAGAGGGGGTGGGACGGGTGGGGGGCGAGGGGCTGCTGGTGTAGTGGTGGCGATAGTGAAATAAGAGGGGGGGGGGGGCAGACTCTGAAGGTTAGATGGCGAGGAGGCGCCGTGGAGAGACGAGAGAAACGCGCAGGCTCTGCTCTGCCTCTCCAGGACGCCTCTGTGCGCGGTGATGTGCAGCTGGCAACACCCCGGAATGGCGAAAGAAGGAACACCCACGCAGAGTCACGCACAGGCGGCAACAGTGGAACACACACACACACACACACACACACACACACACACACACACACACACACACACAC